CACTATCAATATCACAAGCGATCTCACTAGAGATCGCATGAGCGATCTCGCGATCGATCTCACTATCGATCTCATTGAATCGATTTCACTCTCGGTCTCACGGCGAGCCATCCCTGTGCAATCAGTTCTGCCTGTGTGTGCTGATCTCTACCAGTGCTGCCCAGCGCAGCCCCATCCCCGGCGACTGGTACAGAGCGTGCTCGACGGGAGTGACCTCTGGTGCGGGCCAAATGTGGCCCCCCGATCGCTGAGCGCGAAGCGGTAGTTCGAGGCCTCCTGGATGGGGTCGGAGTAGATGGGGTCGGAGGATCGCACCGTATCGGCGATGCATCGGCGATGCGGCTCGATGTGGAGCCCGATCTTCTCAACGCTGATTGCGCCGATGCCTCGCCGACGTTGCCGATGCATCGCCGATGTATCGCCGGTGCGGCGCGGTTCTCCGACCCCATCTGCTCGGACCCCAGCTAGGAGGCCTCTAGTAGTAGCGGCTTGCGCGCCCGGGTTTTGCCTCCCCGCGCCCCCCCGTCAAGGCGCGCACCTAAGGTCTCTCTTGCCCAGGGTCGCTCTCGCGCGTGGCCGACCTGCGAGGCACAAGGAGGAGGACGAGTCCGAGGAGGGCGCCGCCGCGAGGCAGCAGGCCGTCGAGGAGCAGCGCCGTCAGGAGGAGGATCGGCGGTGAGCGAGGGGGGGAGGTGAGAAGGAGAAGGCTTTCTCAAGAAGCAGCGGGGCTTCTCGGAGGCGCTCGCGCCTTCCGAGAAGTTGTCCGCGTCGCAGGGGAAGCCCATTCCACGAGACACCCTGCTTGCCTCCAGGGTGCCCTGGGCTCCGTGTACTTCGATGGTCTTGCTCTGGAAAGCGTGACGTTCCCACACCAAAATCCATGGAGGTCCTGTTGTCTGACGGTTGTGTTTCTAGCGGAAGGTCTCTTGCGGTCACGCTCCTGCTGCATCTTCGGGGGAGGCTCAGAGCACTTCTCAGAGGGCCGGGGGACTTCAGAGCCTCTTGAGAAGGCCTTCTCCTTTTCTCAAGCGGTGGCGAAGCGTCCTGGCGTGCCTACGGGCCTACCAGATAATGTTCTAAGAACCTTTTGTGGTCTGCGCGACATGTTCACAGAACATTTCTGGGCTGTCTTGTTGTAACGCATCGGGTTTGTTCCAAGAACTCCTTTGTTCTCCGAGCATTTTGGGGCTCTAAGAACATGTCGTGGTAGGCCCATAGGAATGCCGGGACGGTCGGCCCCTGCTCAATTTTCACTCCCCCCTCGCTCGCTCGCCGCCGAGAGGAGCGGCGCGTGCAGGAGGCGCAGCGGCTCCGGCTCGAGGAGGAGCAGCGCCGGCTGGAGGAGGAGGAGCGGCTCCGCCTCGAGGAGGAGCGGCGCCGGCTCGAGGAGGAGGCCACCGACCAGGGGGGGGGGCAGGGGAAGGAGCGGCAGCACTGGCAGCAGCAGTAGCAGGAGCAGGAGGAGGAGGAGGAGGAGGAGGAGGAGGAGGAGGAGGAGGAGGAGGACGAGAAGAGCGAGGAGGAGGAGGAGGAGGAGGAGGAGGAGGAGGAGGAGGAGGAGGATGAGGAGTAGGACGAGGGGAGCGAGGAGGAGGAGGACGAGGAGGATAAGGATTTTCGTTTGCGATGAAGGACGAGGGGGACAAGGCTGGGGGATGAGGAGCCCCGACCCAGACATCCGGTAGCGCGACAAACTGGAGACGGCTAGCTTTTCTCAATGTTCGGCCCCTGGACGCCGCTTTCGGGCCCTGGGGCTTTCAGGCGGCGGGTCCGGATGGAAAGCTTGCCCCAGGGGAGGGGTCGAGAGGCCGGGGGGGCCTTGAAGTAATTGTCTTGTATCCCATCCTATCCTATCTTCCCCCCTCCTGCGTCTCCTTCTCCGCTCTTCTTTTTCACCCTCACCACCTCTCTCTCTCTCTCTCTCTCCCCTCTCAGGCGGCGCGCCGCGCGGCCGCGCTGGAGGCGCTGGAGGCTGCTGTCGCGCGGCGGGATCCCGCTGCGTGCAGAGAGGTGCCGCTGGCATAGCTTCCGCTGCCCGAGCCTCGTGCCGGGCCACGGCTCTTCTGGGGGAGTGGAGCAGAGGTAGGGAAGGCGGCGGAGGAGGAGGAGGAGGAAGAGGAGGAGGAGAAGGAAGAGGATGAGGATGAGGATGAGGATGAGGATGAGGATGAGGATGAGGATGAGGATGATGATGATGATGATGATGATGATGATGATGATGATGATGCTGATGATGCTGATGATGATGATGATGATGATGATGATGATGATGATGATGATGACGATGATGATGATGATGATGATGATGATGATGATGGTGGTGGTGTGGTGTGGTGGTGATGATGATGATGATGATGCTGATGCTGAATGATGATGATGATGATGATGATGATGATGATGATGATGATGATGATGATGATGATGATGATATGTGATGATGATGATGAGGAGGAGGAGGAGGGGGAGGAGGACGAGGAGGATGAGGATGAGGATGAGGAGGATGAGGATGAGGATGAGGAGGAGGGAGGAGGAGGCGGAGGAGGAGGGAGGAGGAGGAGGAGGAGGAGGAGGAGGAGGAAGAGGAGGAGGACAGGAGGAGGAGGGAGGAGGAGGAGGAGGAGGGAGGAGGAGGAGGAGGGAGGAGGAGGAGGAGGAGGAGGAGGAGGAGAGTAGGGGTCAAGCCAGCCAGCTGGATCGAGCCAGTGGCCCCCCGTCGACTCTCAACCCTCCCTCCCCCCCATGACAGGGTTAGGTCGGACCTGTCCCTCTACAGGGGGAATCTTTTGCAATAGTGAAAAGATTGCCAGGGGAGTTTTTCTTGTTTGGGGGGGGGTCAGGGAAACTATGTTTGGCAATGTTTGCGTATTTCTGGTGTATGTTTGAATTTTTCGTCCCACGTCCGCCTGTAGGAGGACATCCCCGACCTGATTTTCAGGGTGTTGCGAGCGTTCGGGCTGTGGGAGGGCGACCTCCCCGCGGTCCGTGAGTCGAGTAGGAGATCAGATGCAGAATGGATTTGCCCCGACATGATAATTTCGCCGGATCGCCGAAGGAAGACGTGGCAGCCCACGACCATTTTTAATGTTCTTCTCTGCCCAGATGCGACGGAAAGTCCATTTCGGGGTAAACCAATTCTCAGAGCGTGAATTGCCTACCCCGCTTTCGCTTCCAGGGAAAACCAAGTCATACCACGCGCCTCCTCGTCAAGCGACCTTTCCAGTACAGGCCGTAGTTTGGCATCGCTTGGTACCTCTTGGAAGCGAGGGTGGTCAAACGCGAGGCAGGTTTGCTTTCCCCCTAAACTCTGCAGTCGATCCCCTGCTCGAGAGCGAGCTCGGGCGTCGGGCCCTCGAGCGCTCCGCAGGCGGCGACTGCGAGTTCTGCTGTAGAGTCTGGACATCGCCAATCCACGGATCGCCCAATCCATGGATCGCTAATCTCGGGCCAGACGAAAGGGGGGGGATTGGGAAAGGGGGTGGGTACGAACTTTGCTGTATGCAGCTGGTTTCGGCCCCACCGAGGGGCCCATTCCTCGATACTTGGCCGCCTCCTGCGCCGGGAGGCGCCGGGAAAATCGGCTATACGTGAGCTGATTCTCACCCCCTCCCCTTTGCTATCCCCCCCTTTCGCCCGACCCGATACTCCATGGACCGCTAGGGTCGGGGGTGGACAGACCTCCTACCCTGACACGTCGATTAGCGAGTTGATCGTTTTCGGTTCGCGAGGGGGCGTCGCGGCCGTCCTTTTTGTAGGTCCAGGTCCGTCGGTTTCGGTCCCAGGCCGTTTTCGCTAAGGGGAAGTCTACTAACGGGAGGTTTGTCCATCGCCGAGATGGGGGGTCCGAGAGCACTTGGATCCGTCACGTGGCCCTCTTGGAGGCATGTCGGAAGTCATCTTGAGTCATAGTCGGCTATCTTGAGCCATCTTGGGGGGCCATTTTGGAGCTCTGGGGGCCCTCTTGGAGCCACCTTGGGCGAAACATGGCTCCCTGACACATCCCTCCCCCCAAACAACAAAAAACACACACACAAACACATCAGGGAGGGGCAGGGCTACCCCTCCGCGAAGGGAATATGGTTTGGAAGGGTAAGAATCATATCGTTAGACCACCTACGCCCAACAGGACTGGTATCATTATGACGATGTTGATAATGGATCGTATCTTCAAAGCCCGACACCACTTCCTCTTTCTCCAGTGTTGGTATGGGTCGTCTCTTATCGCACGCGTGAGTTGCAAGGCCCAAGCATCGATGGGCACCTGCATGTTTCAGGAGCACGCGAGCAACTATGACATATGAACATGGATCGTTGCAGAGGCCGCATCGTGAAAAGGCAATCACACGCGACTGACATGTGGTGTGCACTGTTGTTCTTGATGCGTAATCGTAGTCGCCCAGCAATGCTACTATTGAGCATCCTCTCTTTTCGCTTCTTTTTGGGCCATCCCCCCTCCTCCCTCGTCGCTGTCGTCGTCGTCGTCGTCGTCGTCGTCGTCGTCGTCGTCGTCGTCGTCGTCATCTGCCTCCTTTTCCTCCCTCCTTTGTATGCATCTTCATCCCAGCTCTTACCCTTCTTAACCTCGTCTTCGTATTCCCCTGTTTACCTCCCCGTCCTCCCCTCGTTCCCTCCTCGTCCGTCCTTCGTCCTCCTCCTCTTCGTCCTCTCCCCCCTGCCCCTGACCCTTCCCCTCTCCCTCGACCTCCCGCCTCCTCCTCGCTTCCTTCCGCCCGCCCCGTGCACCCCCTGGGGGCCGAAGGTCGGGATCGGGGACAGCTCTTGGCGGCAGCCGAGGCGCTGGGCGTGGCGCGCGGCGCGGGCCTGGACGCGGCAGCGTGCCCTCGGGGCCGGCTCGCGGCGGCCCTCGCGGAGCCGGCGCAGCTGAACGCCGGCTTGCTTGCCGTGGAGCAGGCTGGGGGTCCCGCAGGGGGGGCCCCGGCTGGGGAGGCTCCCCTCACCAGACATCGGCGTCACCCCAACATACTTATACTATATGTGCGTCGCCCCCCTGGGGGCGATGCGCGCACCGAGGAATCTTATAGTATATGCGTTGTGGCGGGCGAATTCTGGCCACACCGCTCGGGAAACGATATACTACAAGATGGGTATACTATATGTTCGGGTCGGACGCGCGCGTCCAAGGATGACATATAGTACTAGTACGTCTTTGTGCATCCCAAGACAGGGTCTCGCGTCGTCGGATTGAGAACATCAGGACGCGATGTTTTTGGCCGTTTTCGGCCTCGGCGGGCCCTCGCCGGGCCTCGGGGCCGTCAAGAAACGACTCAGGATGCCTCCTCCTCCTCCTCCTCCTCCTCCTCCTCCTCCTCCTATTGAAAACTCAGGACGTCGCACGTCTGGGTCTGTCAAGGGAGGAGAGCCACCCAGACCCCGACACTTGGCGTTCACGAAGCGGCCCTGGGTGGTTTCTAAAAAGCCCTGCCCTGTGCGATTCCTCTCCCTCTTGGGTGCGTTTATCGAACGGCCTCGCTTGTCGGGGTGCTTCTTCTGGGGGTAGCTTTTCTGCCCTCGCTCTGCTTCCTTCGGGGGCGTGGAAGCGGGGGGCGGGACGGACAGGGCGGTCATGGCTGGGCCACGATGCCTCCCTCCTGGTGCCCTGCACTCTCTTGCCCGTGGCGCGCCTTCTGGCCCTACCCGCGTCCTCGCACGTATCCTGGGCCATGTGTTCGTTGCCTTCGTTCACGTTGCGACGCTTGCTGGAGTCACTGGTGGCCTGCCCGCTTCGCCCCCTCAGCTTGCCTCCTTCGCCTCCAAAAGGAGGAGACGAGAGCATACCCTTGGCCATGTTGCATCCCCCCCCTTTGTCCTGGCACCTCGCCTGCTGCGCCCCCGATCCTTCCTCATGCTGCTATCAGCGCTGCCGCTCTCCCCTCCCCCGCGCCCGCTCCCGCTGCTCCTGCCGCTCCGGCCCGTCTGCGCACGCTGGGCACTGCGCGAGGGCGAGGCCAGCGGAGCGACGGCCTCCTCCCTGCTGGTCTCGCAGGGCTCGCTTCGATTCCTCCGATTCGATTCGATTCGGTTTCGATGGATTCCGATTCGATTCGGCTTCGGATTCCGATTTGGACTCCGATTCCTGCCTGGAGGCATGCTAGCCTGTCGATTTCCGCCGACTCGACTTCTCCCGACTCGGCTGCCGATTTCCATTTCGATCGCCGATCCGACTTATCGATTCGATTCTGGGATCTCCTGTTCTCGTGGGCGAGAAACAACTTCGTATCCGCGTTCTCGCGGGCTGGGCCCCTGGGCCGCGACGGCGCGGTTACGGAGCTTTTTTTTTCGCGGATGTCCCGCGCGGCACGTGTCCGTGCGACGGCGTATCCGCGGGATCGCGCCCCGGAAGGCAGACCGCGAGGGCGCGGAGTCGGATATGTGCGTCGCTCGTGGTGGTCCGTGCCGTGGCCTGGGCCTCCCGTCGGCGGCGCGCAGATGGGGGCAGGGGGCGGGGGGAAGGCTTCTTGGAAGTGTCCCTGCGTCTTAGAGCCCGCGGGTCTTGTCTGCAGATGTAGGGCTGGCGCCTTCTAAGGAGCAGCCTCCTTCTCTGAGAAGCCTTCCCCCTCCCCTGCCCCCCCTGTGCGCGCCGCCAATCTCGGACGGGGCTAGGACGAGGATGACTCCGTTCCAGAGCGTTCCGCACCGCTCTCAAAGCGTCCAACGTTGAACGCCGGCGGCGGGGGCTCGTCGCTGGTCGACACGACGTGAACCTGCCATGACAACACGGTTTGACAAGACGATGCGCTTGCCGCCAACACCCGGCTTGTCGGACGGGGCTAAGACGAGGATCAATACGTCCCAGAGTGCTCCTGACCGCTCTCAGAGCGTTCCTGAACGCGCTGAGAAGGCCGCGGCGCCCGAGACATCCTCCAGAGCCGCTGGATCTCAGAGATTCTCGGTTCATCCCCACCCGTGTGTGCCCTCGTCCTGGTTTCGTCCTGGCCTGTGCAGGATGGCGTGCCTGAGAGAGTCGGGAGGAGACCGTTCTTTTTCTACTTTCTAGATCCTCTGGCGCATAAGCGGTAACGATCGCACGTTTTGGGTCGGGTCTGACTTCCCGCCCCCTCACATGCGCGCACACCAGGGCGATCGCAGCGCGCCCCCGGGCTGACGTGCCACCACCCCTCCCAAGCGTTGCTGTTACCTGGGTGCCTCAGCCTACCTGGCCCCCGGGTAACGACCTTTGCGCGGAATTGCTAAGAGCCACATCGAGGGATAACGCGGTTGCTTGCCCCATGGGCCTGCCATGCTGGTGACATGCCCATTTTGAAGCATTGCTCTCAATCTTCGAGCGGGTATCAGAGGCACGCGCGTCTTTTCTTTCAGGCTGCGCGTGTTACTCAGTCGCCTTCTGCAGAAACGCCCTGCACTTCTCGAACAGCACGCGCTGACGGGGTCGTCCGACTGGCGTGACTTTGACCTTGTCTTGGCTCTCCGCTGGGCCCGCGCTCTGCGTGCAGCCCTTCAACGCGCCGCGTCCGTGCGCCTCTACGATAGCACGTCTCCCATGCGTGCGCGCCGAACGCTACCCGCCCACCTGCCGCCCACCATCGTCGACCCCACGCCTCTGGGATCAGGCCTTCCGTCGTAAGCGGTGGCACGCCAAGGCACAACGGAGATGTCAAAGCAAAAGCATCAACAGTCGGAGCCGTCAGTTCGCTTGTGTCAGTCTGGTGGTGCCAGTTGCGGGCCAAACGGCTGCAGGGACAGACGCTTCGCCGAAACATGCAAGTGCAGCGAAGAGAGAGAGAGAGAGAGAGAGAGAGAAGCGAGAGTGCGAGATTTCGTTGCGCGCAACCAGCCCGCGACCGCAGTGGATGCAGCTGCCTTGGCTGCGTCGCCACTTACAGTGTCGCCTCCGTCCAACCATGGAAGTCACCCTGTGGCGGGTCGCATGACGACGCCTCCGACGATGATGATTTTGAAGAAGTATACGATGCTGTTGATTATGTAGATGATCGCTGTGATGATGGTGACGGTGGTGATGATGGTGGTGATAGTGATCACTATCATGTGAGTGATGATACTGATGACACTAATGCTGACACTGATGATGACGGCGATGCTGATGATGATGCCGATGATGATGTTGCTGTTGATGATGCCGATTCTGGTGATGGTCGTGGTGATGGCGATGGTGATGGTGATGATGCTGTGGCTGATGCTGATGACGATGCTGCTAACGATGATTATGACGATGATGATGCTGATGACCATCAGGATGACGATGATGATGATGGTGATGATGACGATGCTGATGCTGATGACGACGATGCTGATGATGGAGATGTTGATGGTGACGGTGATGGTGATGGTGACGGTGATGGTGATGATTATGATGCTCGTGATGATGCTGTTGATACTGATGACGACGATGATGCTGGCGATGATCATGATGATGCTGATAATCATGCTGATGAACCTGATGATGATGATGATGATGATGATGATGATGTGATGGTGACGGTGAGTGCGATGATGCTGCGGATGATGATGATGGTGGTGGTGATGATGATGCTGTTGATGCCGATGATGATGATGATGATGATGACGCGGATGATGATGCCGATGATGATGTCGATGATGATGGTAATGACGGCGTCGATGACGATGGTGTTGATGCTGCTGCTGCTGCTGATGATGATGATGATGATGATGATGATGAGCATGGTGCTGATGACGATGATGATGACGAATATGTTGATGCTTATGGTGATGCGGATGATGACGACGATGGTGATGATGATTGTGATGGTGATGGTAACCGTGGATTGTTGTTTGATGTCTTGACTCCTCATGATGCTGCTGCTGATGAGTACGATGTTAATGATGCTGCTGCTGATGAGGATGACGATTATGATGACGATAATGATGATATGATGACGATGATGATTATGCTGATTCCACTGCTGATGCTGCTGATGATGATGCTGATGACTGATGATTGATGGTTGATGGCTGATGATTGATGGCTTATTCCTCATAGGATCGTAAGGGAGGCTCTACTGAAGCTATTGACTGGAGCCCGACAGACACTGCGACGAGGCGGTTTGCGCTCAGGTAGCTGGAGTTCCCTCGTCTTCTCGTCCGTCGCCTTCGATTTTTCCACCGGCCGTTTCGCGGGGCACCGCGGCGCTTCTGAGTGTCATCGTCGATGTTGGGGATCTTCTCTTCCTTGCGCATCGCACACCATCCCGCCACTTCTCCCTCGCCCCTCCTGCTCGTATACATGTCCCCGCTGGCAACTCGTTCCTCCTCCTCCTCCTCCTCCTCCTCCTTGTGTACCTTCCCCCGTGGGCGGTCCTCCGCTCAGGGCTGGCTGATCTGGACGGCCTGCTTGGTCTGGCGGGCCGAGCAGTCTCTCGGGTCCTGCTGGTTTCGGCCAGCCTCGAGTGGGTGGCATGGCCTGAGCTCGTCTGGATTCCGGGTGACCTCTGCTCCCGCTGGTCGTGCTGGCGCGACGGGCCCTGGTTGCTTTCCTCAGCCCAGCTGTCGTCGTCGTCGTTGTCGTCGTCGTCGTCGTCGTGTCGTCGTCGGCGTCGTCGTCGTCGTCGTCGTCGGACAGTCAGGCTGTGACGGCTGGCTCCGCCCGCGAGGATGTCCAAGCGGGCTTGCCCGGCCCGCCCCCTTTGGCTGACCGGGCCTGCCCCGGTCGCTCGGGTAAGTTTCCACTCGACGTACGTCCTGGCCGCGACGCGCAGACTTGACATGTCGCCGCCACCCGACCGACGTTTCAACCCGAGAAAGGGCGAACTTCAACTTGGAAAAGGCCCAACGCCACGCTTCCCAAGCCGCCTCACATCCTCAAACAGGACGAAGTGGATTGGAAAGAGAGCTGCTGCAAAAATTGGAAGAGGAACGGTTCAGTATTGAAGAAGGGCAGATCTCGAGTGAAACGC